AACACCGTTTTTCTTTTAAATGCAATATAAGAGAAATCACTTCACATCTTAACAACAATATATCCTTGATGGCCCAATAATCGCATTTATATATGCTTGTATTCAAGCGCTATTATTCACCAAATTTATTATATACGCGGCTGATGTGTTGCTGGCTCTCTAGCTAGTTTTATGAATTTAAAACAACAGGTTTTATGATATTGTTGACAGTTTAATGGATACATCAAAACGAAACACGTCACCAATAAACAAAATGAGAAGAAAAAAAGACATCAAACGGTTTAAACTTCATGAGACACGCTTGCATTGAATGAAAGTATTTTTTTTTCTTATATACTAAGAAAAAAAAATACTCTCGACAAAAAACTGAATAAAAGAATTGGCCATTCAGGAAAATACGCAAATTATGAGCGATTTTTCATAATTTGTAAGTAGTCCATGTACAATTTAGTCAATTTTATTATCGTTGACATGGATGAAATTTGTGGTAAATGAAATACAATCTATTTCAATCGATGTCAATAAAAGACGAAAACAAAGAACCTAATAAAGACAAAGTTTATGTAAACATACAACATGATCTATCATATATAGTTTTCAAACGAATAAAAAAACTGTCAACATTTAGCGATTAATTTGATTTTAAAAGGAGTGTATGCTTTATACTAATTTTCGGTACGTGTCTTTATTCCATTTTATCCCGTTCGCAAAAAGAACATCACGAATGAGAGTGTGAAAAAGCAAAAAAAAGGTGGCAAGAATATTACAAACGTAATACAAAAGTACGACAAAGAAAAACAAAGAATATTACAAAAGTAATACAAAAAGGCATGGTGTTTACACTTACATGCACTTCCACCATGAATTAGTTACGAATATGTGCAAATGAATGTCGTCGTCGTCGTCGTTGCTGTTGTCGTCGTCATCGCCGCCGCCGCCGCCGCCGCTAAGGTTGATGTTCTCTTTTCTATTTTTGCACTGTGAGATTTTAATTAAAATTATGTGAATAAAGCGTAAACATCCTACGGACTATGCATCTCAGTTTTAAAACTATTTAAAGTTTCCCTATAGTGTGTCATTAGCAATGCAAGTAAAAAAAATGTATATGCTCGACTCGAAACACCGGTGCAATTCCAGGCGAGGAACAAGCATCTATAAAGAAGACAATGGATTCAATTGCGTTGTTGTTTGCATTTTTCTTTTGCGTCGCACTAACGATAACACGAACACTGCCGATCCAATTCTGTATGAGTGAGACTGAGAAAATTCCATGGAATGCAAAACGAGTTGCTTATTTTCTATACAACAAAAAAAAAATATATATATATATAACTATCAAAAACATTAGCTGAAAAATGGTTTTATTCATTTCAAATTAAATTTATATTTTTCGAGTACGGTAGTACATTTTCTTTTTCAGTTAAATGATAACGCCGTATCAATTGATGAATTTTTATCCATTTTTAATGCTATTATCTAACGTGAAAGTCAATGCCCTAGACAATTTATATGATGTATTAACATAAATGTGCACGCATTTTGCATCATTAGAGGCACTTATGTAGGTAAAACAGAAAGATCGGCTTGTATGGAGTGAGCGATGAGATGCATACAATTTTTAATTTGTATGTGATCGGTGTTATCGTGTTGTGCCTCTTCTACCTTTGTTACCTGCATTTTTGGAATTATGTTAAATGCATAGTTTTACAATTAATTATAACATGAAACCGGCGAAGTGCACAACATAAACAACGAGAAATGAAAAAGAGAGAGAGAGAGAGAGAGAGAGAAAACACACTCACGCACACAACACAAAATTGTACAAAGAAATACGAAGAAAATAAGTTTGAATAATAGAATTTCACACAAAAAAATGTACCAAGAATGTTCTCACATACTTTCTTCGTCGGGTTCTACTATTTAAAAGAATATTACAAGAAAAAACATGAGCATGAAGAGAAAGAAATGAACACACTCAAGTCAACTGTATATGAGGTGTATCAATTTAATATTAAGGTGCATAATTGAAATAAAAAAAAAACAAAGAAAAAATATTTGTGCAAACTGGAATTTGAAAACTAAGGATTACCTCTCAAAATTATTAATTGACTATTAAAATGCTTAATCAAGAAACCAACAAAAACTTTTTCTCGAAAAACATTTCTTCGTCGTTTGGAAATTCATGATTTGAACAATGATACAGAGACTGCAGTCTTTTGCGATGATTAAATAAATAAAATTGAACACCATCGAATAAAATGCTTTATCTGAAGCAGTTTATTCTTGTTGTTGCATTGTATTCAATAAAGGGATTTTTTATTTGAACCCAATCAATTATGAAAACTAACACTTTATTCTGTGTGTCTCTTTTCTATATTCGTAATCATTGCATACTTTATTTCAATTTAATTATTTATCGATCAACATAGAATTCGAAATGGGATCATAATGTGTTTGAATATAAAATAAATTCATTCACCCCATGGGCGCAGTTCATTGATACTAATGTTCTTGAGAAAGTTCGGGCCAATAATAAGCCAAAATGCGTTGAAAATAGGCATTCAAATGGAAAATATCAACCGCAAAGCATCGCAATAAACTTACATAATGCAAAAAAAAGAAAGAAAAGAAACGAATATGGATCGAAGCATAAAAGCATTACATACAAACCGCATTACATCTTATTGCAAGACGAATACTTTATATATGTATAAAATTAGATGCATTTGTATATGGGACAGTTTTATGGGGATAGTGTGTGTGTCTTATTTGTGAAACTATATGAACAAGTAATAAATAACATGGTGACGATCCTGCTGCAATCGTATAGGACATCTTCAGCATTGAATCAATAAAAGAGCTGCTGGTTAAATGTTAATAAAATGCACTTTCATCGAAAATAGTTGCCGGGACAGAGACGTTTCCAAATAAAGCGAACAAATATATTATTAAATATTGATAAAACATGGAAAGAAATTCACCCTTGTTTATTTTGTTTAATGTACATCTATTCCATTTGTCAACCCCCTAATCCAATAATTGGACAGTTGTTTCATCATTACACATGCAGTGTGCAATACCGAAGGAAAAACTTTATTCTATTTGAAGATGAATTTACTTCATTGTATATACGAAATTCTTGGCGTGTTTATATAATCCGTTATCTTAGAAAAATACAATCCATATGAATGAAGACGAATACATTTTCGTTGGAAATCTAATTACTATTTACACTTGTGCAATTGCAATCTTTGTAACCTTAATAACAGGTCAACGCAACCACAAAAACAATCATTCCACAAACATTTAATCAACCAAAATGTTGCCGTAAATATTTAATCGTTCGTGTGATTTAAGAACCTTCTATCAAAATTATCAAACCAACTACTTCATTCTGTGAAATTTGAGAATACAATTCTGAGATATAACAAGCGTGACTGGGAAACCATGGGAATTGTTTGAAAACAAAATAAAACGAACAGCATCTAATATTTAAAAAAAAACCCAATAAAGGCGAGTAGCTCAATGCACTTTGCCGTCTTTGCGTGATTGTAAAGCCATTCACTCATATAATAAGGAGCATTCCACACTTCTGTGCATTGTTGCCTCTCTGTTTTACCTTTACATATTATTTAATTGTGAACGGGGGGATAAACACAAAATTAGTTTCTATACCAGTTTAAATACATTTTGCCGATGACAATTGACCACCCGAGTTTTCATTGGATGAAGAAAACATATATTATTTTTATACTCTTCACTGCATTCTGAGTTATACGAATGGAGCATTAAACATCTTTTTTTTTTGTGTATTTCACTGGCAACGAAGTCGATTCATTCGTATACCAAGCACACAATTTACAAAATACAAAACTATGGCAGACTATGCGATGCAATTCAAACTTTAAATTGCGGACAATAGCTTAATATGTGGCGCCTATTCGACGACCAATAAATTTATCATGTCTGCTTTTTTATTTTCTATATTCAAGTGTGGAACGTTTCGGTGAGAAAATGGTTCCGACAGCCGCAAAGCAGGCATTGGAAAAATACGCGACAAACAGGGCATCATTCTATTTGGTAGCATTTTTGTTTTTGGCAAGAATGCGAGACAAATCAAGTTCTACTTAAAAACACCAAAACTAGCTAGTCGCAACAAAAACATTTCCGAACCAAACGTTAACATTAACATTTCGTTACAAAGTTTATGTACACATTTTTGTTACTATTAATGGAACTTTGAGGCCGAACATGAAAAAATCGTTTATACATTTATTTGATGCAAGTGATAAACTTAGTTTTTATATTATTGATTTTCTCGTTTGCTTATTGCGAAAAATATTTTTCATATCATTTGTCTAAACCAAATTATCGAAATTCAATCAACATTGGTTTTATCATTTATCACCAGCAATTATAACAATGCACACGCTTTTTTATTTCAGTTTTTTTATAACCAATTTGGTATTGCTAGTATGGTAAAAATTAATCGTGAAATTGTTTCCTTTTTGTCATGTTTTTGTTTAACAAATCAATAGAACTAATTTGCCAATGTGGTAAACCACTCCACTTGAATGTAACATATCCACTGATGGCCTTTAAACAAATGAATTCATCTATTGAACAAAGGGGAATCGTACAGCACATACATGGGTACGAAAAAATGAAATAGGGGGTGCTAAAGCGACTAATTAAAAAACTGAATTTGAAAAGCTAGCAAATCACTTGTTCAGATAAAAACTTAAAAAGATATATACTATGTGTACAAATATCGCCCAACGGCTTCAATTTTCCTTTAAATTTTTAAATTTTGCTCGAAGTTTCGTCTTGGAAATATGTTGAATGGCATTTTTACAATCTACCCTCCCACCAATCTCTAGCTACGCGAATGCCAGCAAAAATATAAACATTTTGTTTTATTTAGAGATTTTTTTAACGAACCAAAAAAAAAATAAATAAGTTACTAATACTTGGAATTATTTATTTTCTTAAAATTTCAGTTAATGCTTTTCTTCCAACCACCTTTGATTTATTGGAGGCACTTGAACTACCAAAGAATCATTCTCGATATTTAGGAGTGAGTGAAGCAAAAGGCATGGAAAAGCCAGCTGTTAAGCTTGGTAAGATACACTATTTTCTTTCTATATTCATTTACGAAATGTACGAAGTTTTCTGTGTTTGACGACAAAATGCGATAGAACTTTTAGGTAATCAAGATATGCGAAATCTTTCAATGCCAACGCCAGCACTGAATCGAGCTATTAATCTGATAAAAAGTTCACCAGACTTTACATTTTCAACGACGGTACGACAAGAGAAGCAAAGCGTCGGGACCCTCATATCATTTTCCAGCGGCAATAATAGGTAAAAATAAGGTCGTCAGAAATTGTTTGTTTTTGTTGATCTTTCTTTTATTCTGCGTACCAACTACAATGCATTTCATACAAAATAGAGAGAGAGAAAAAAAAATGTTGATTGATCAACAAAAGCAAATTGAAATTGAATTGTGATGAATATGTAATAGCAGTTGGTTATTCAGAATAGAAAAAAAAAACATTGTTTAGTCTTGAATTTGTGAATGTTCCACATATAAGTAAGTATAGTGATTGTCAGGTATTTAGAATTGGAATCAAGTGGCCGAAGGAATGAAATACGTTTTATCTATACGGTGATGGGCGCTGAGAACACGGGATATCAAAAAACGGAGTCATTTTCGTATACATTAGCGGATTACAAATGGCACAAGGTTTCACTAACAGTTAGTGGATCCGAGATACAGTTATTAGTTGACTGCCATTTAATTTATAGACGAATGGCAGACCACATACCAGATAGGAATTTTAGTGCTTCCGAAATGCATTTATTTGTAGGACAACGAGATGCTGATAAAGATTATCAGCTAAAAGTAAGTATAATCATACCCAATTGGAAAAAGTTGTTTTTTTTTTAGTTTTTCCAAAGGTCGGAATTCAAAAAGTCACTTTTACACACATTCGGCTATGCCATTTGTATTTCAAAATATTGTATACTGGTTCTGTTCCGTTTTGCAAGCAAACAAGCAAGCTTAATTTAAAGTTGAAGTGCATTCTGAAAAAAACCGGCTTTTGAACATTGAAAAACTGGAATCAGTTCTCTAGTTATTGCAAATTCAAAATTTATTGAATTGTAACATTATATCCACTTCAATAAACTTTGATTGTTAAGTGTCACATTTATTGTCGTAAACGCAATTATACAAATACCATAACGAACAATTTTCATCCGTATGCATTTCTGTGGTCTTTGTTTTATTGTTTTCAGGGGTATATTCAAGATGCATACATTGTGTCAGGGCCGAATGGTTATCTTAAACAATGTCCAAACATGGCAACTCAGTGTCCAACGTGCGGACAATTTAGTCTTCTTGAGAAAACAATAGATGATTTAATAAAAAATTTAGATGAATTAAAACAAAGGGTGAGTACTGATTTAATCGTCTTCAACATTATTGGTGGTAATTGTCGACTTTGACAAGTATGCGTAGTAAAGATTTTTTTTTATTTATTTTCATATGTAATCAGTAATATTTGTACGTTTTAAATTAAAAAAAATTGGAACTTACAAAAAGCAAATGCCGATCATTCGAAACCAATTGATCACCAACGAAAAGAAAAAAAAATCTTTCCATAAATACTGGTTCATATGTCATATGCAATATGTTGTTGTTTATTTATTTATTTATTTATTTTCTTAAATCAAAGTGTTGTTAATGTTTCAATTTTTTTTTTATATATTATTTGTATATATCGACATGTAGCTAGTGGCACAAGAAGATCGTATTGTAAGTCTTGAAAAATGTGACTGTAAAAAATCGTGTGTGACATTAGATGGTAAAAAGAAAGAGGATAATGAAAGGTGGGATGATGGTTGTAATACGTGTATATGTGAAAAAGGTGAAATCAAATGTAACCCAAAAAGTTGCATTAAACCAAAATGTAAAAATCCAGAATTTCCCCCAGATGATAAGTGTTGCCCAAGATGTTTAAGTGAGTTTTCATTTCATTTATTTTTCTTTATAAATATTTAATTTGCATCTCAATCGGTTTTTTTTATGTTGCTCTATCTCACTTTCACTCGATAAATGTGTCTGTAATTTGTTGGAATTTCAATTGAAATATGAATTGTATATAAATTCAAACTTGAGCTTTCTTTTCACATAGAAAATGATGAAGTGAAATATGTATCAATCGCTGTATCTGTGTATCTTTTTGCTCATTCTAAATGTTTCCATCAGAAAACTGTTTGGAGAATCACAGGATTATCGAACACGGAGAATTTTCAATAACTGGTTGCGTAAACTGCACGTGCACAGATGGTATTTTAGGATGTGCGCAGATTATATGTCCAATATTATCGTGTCCGCCAGAAACTCAAGTACAGGAAACCAATCAATGCTGCAAATTTTGTCCAGGTGATGTGAAATCTATAGATGACAATCTCATTAAGACGTCATTTAGATGACATATCACATAAGATCCATCTCTTATTACAAATTAAGTGACAATTAATCGAAACATTAAACAAAAAATGAAAAAAGCCGTTTTCAATTTTACCGAACCATCTTTCAAGTTGAAACAACTGCAAACAAAACAAAAAATCATTGTCAAACATGTTAGAATGGTATCGGTATGGTATTTATCGCGTATGCTCATATTCAAATTTAATGGCAAAAGTATAAAACGGTACCAAAAAGTATAGCCAGAAAATTTTTCTCGTTTTTTTCACATCGCAAAGATTAATGCGTTCGAATCTTTACATTGTATGTTGATTGTGTTCAACATAAAATGAAGTAATGAGTTCATAAACTTGAAAAGAATGATGAAAATTTCGATTTTAAAAACGAGAAGACTTTCACTGCCAAGTACTGTAAAATGATTTTTTTTAATAATATCGAGTGAATGTCAAACGATGATACAAATACATTTTTGACATTCCCAAAAAGTTCATCATGCCATAAATTATGAGCAGCAATATCTACAATTTGACCATGCATAAGCTGTTACCACACGTTTTTTTTTTTGTTAAATCATATTCCAAGAAATTTTAATTTATTTTTGCATGAGAAATGAATACAAATTTTTAAAAAATCAATTTAATAGTCAAGCCTTATCCTTAGGCATTATATATATATTAGTTTAATCAGCAAGGGAAAAGAACTTGAACACTATACAAGATTCATAGAAGACGCAGGTGAATAGTTTTGACGATCACGAGGGAAATTATTAAGTTCATTTGAATCAGTGGTATTTGTGTTTTAACATTTACCACAAAAATGACTCCTATTGATTTTATTGAGTCATTGCTTAACTAAGTAGTGTAATTTGTAGAAAAAAAATTAAAGCTTAGGACATAGATTAAGTTATTGTTAGACGGAAATGATAAAATGCATTGCATTTCCATTTATAAATAGACGATATTGATAAGAATACATTCTAAATAACATCATATCTTTTTTTTAAAGAAAAAAGCAAAAAAGTCAAACATTTATACTCTAGACATTTATAATCCATACAAAATTTCCTATTAATAATTATAACTTGAGCTTCAAGTTTTTATATGTTTTTATTAAAACATTGTATGGAGATTGCAGAATCACTGGAATACAAAGAAATGTACCTATCAGAGGCAAGAGAATAAAATGTGAAAATACCAAAAGTAAATAATCAAAAAAAAAGAAGTGGAATAAAACACAAGAAATATTTATATTGAAGTAAAAAGCGCATTCTATTTTCGAATTGATTAAAAAAAACCAAATCACATGCAAATAATATAGTATAGGACTGCCAAATGCGACTTTCACTCTGAATGTAAATCATTTCATTTATTCGTTTTTGTAACTAACATAGGAACACACATGGACAAAACAATTACTCACTGGTTATAACTAAATGTTCATGTGTCAAAAAAAAATTTAACTCGATTTTGTAAATCATTTGTTTTTGTGGAAAATTCGGTGCATAAATGCAGGCTTTAATTTTAAAATAAGATTTAATCATTTACATCATTACCTCCAGAGTATATCAATTGCATACAAATATTACAATTTATTTAAAAAAAAACTATTCGCAGAAACGTTCTTCGTTGTTGCGAATAATACAACGTTCATTCTGCGTTAGGTCACAACCAATACGCGTATTGGTTGTGATCTAACGCGGAATGTACGTATATGGTTAAGTGGATATTACCGTGCGTACACTTATTTTTGTGGTGCAATTTGTATACAAATGGGGTACATCCAAATCTTATAATCTTACCTTATTGAATTGCTATCAAATTTATAACATTTATCATTCATTAACTAATTACAATATATCAAAATAACAAATGTCATCTAACAATTCTTCTCTTTTTTCCCCTCTATTCTTCTCTTTTCATCTGTCAACTAAATCTATATGAATGTTCTTTCGTAAATAACATAAAAAACTGCATTCGGTGTATTTTCGGTTTTTGCATCTAATAACACCACCATCCATAACATCTAATAACGACCAACGATAATCAACTGGATAAAATGTCAAAATTTTCATGCCTACTAATTTTTGATTTGTATTAATGGCACTTGCCATTACTGCAAATCTATCGCTTGGACCTATCTTTGTTAAATTAAATGGTATCGCACGGCTTCGGATAATGTGTACACGGATTTTACTTGAAATAAAACCAAAAAAAGGTGATGACTATTGTGGAAAAGGTCATGCCTGTCATATAAACGCCACGTGTCTTAACCTTAATACAAAATATTCGTGTACCTGTCGTCCCGGATTCCAAGGGAATGGCTTCGATTGTATAGGTGTGTGTCATATTCTAATGAACATGAATTGAAAGAGTCCAAACAAATAATTGAAAAAAAAATACGATCATTTCTTTAGATATTGATGAATGCGCACAACAAGGCGGACAGTTTGGTAATCATTGTCATTTGAATACAGTTTGTGAAAATACAATCGGATCATATGTATGCAATTGCCTTCCTGGCTTTCGACGCGTTGATAAATTCAATTGTGCCGAGATCAATGAATGTGCCAGCAATCAACATTCATGCCACGAGAATGCTGTATGCTTGAATACAGTGGGATCATATAATTGCCGGTGTAAGGAGGGCTACCAAGGCGATGGTCTGCAATGTAGACGTAAGTGCACTTTGACTTATGCTTAATAATCTGGAATGATATTTAAACTTTAACTCATCTTTGCAGCTGTGTGTAAGCAAAAGTGTTTGAATGGCGGCGTATGTACCGCACCAAATACATGTACATGTCGTATGGGTTATATTGGTCCTTCTTGCGAACGGGATTTAGATGAATGTGCAACCGGATTGCACACGTGCAAATCGTCAGCTTATTGCGTTAACATGCCCGGATGGTACTATTGCAAATGCAAACCCGGATATGAAACGCATAACTACGAATGTCACGATATCAATGAATGTTATCATGGCACACATAGTTGTCATCCGACCGCATTGTGTGTCAACTATGATGGACATTTTGAATGCATTTGCCCAGATAACTCAACTGGTGTTAGCAAAACAGATGTGGAACCATGTCGACTGAGTAAGATAAATTAATAATCACCATCATTGTTTGAATCAATCTTATGTACATTAGGGTGTTTCTCATATCTGAAAATAAAAAAATGGTAGTCGTTAATTAAAAGTGCAAAAAATTCTAAGACAAATCATGACATTTACACAAAGCATCGACTGATGGTCACGCTTCCCGAAGCAAAAAACTGTTTTCAAAATTGAATGTTACTTACAAAGAAAAAACGCCCCATTTGTACTCCTGCGCAGTCAACAACAACCAAATGGGGTGTCAACCTTTTGCTACGCTACTATCCCACATGGTCGGGATAGCCTTAATAACTAATGTTACAATTGTTTTTTTTTGTTTGCGTTGTGCTGATCAGACAGCATGATCAGCTGGCTGCTGGTCGTACTCGAACATTTCTACATCATTATCTACGTTGGCGGCAGCAGCAGCAGCTGCTTCAGCGACATCAGCGGCTTCTTCGGCGGCCTCAGCGACAGCATCGCGGGCTTTATATCTATTGATCGCATCCGGTATCGGAAGTCCTAGCAATGTCCATAGTCCTGAAAAATCAAACAAATGAATCTTCTTAAGCAATCATTCAATCGCAATTGTATCGTCAATTGGCCTTACCTTTCAGCAGAATGTTCTTAGCAGCCACGACGTCACGATGCCAAGTCACAGAGCATTCGAGGTTTAATTGCCAGTTTTTATAGTAACTTTTTACTTTTGACAATAAAGGCTCGTTTTCTTCCAATGCTTCGTTCATGGCGCGTTGCAACAATCGAAATTCCGATAGATCCTTCTTGCCCAACTTTGACACAATTTTTATTGGCAGCAATGTTCTGGCGTCGGGTATGCACCGGCATTTCTTGAATCTGGCCGATTTGGGCTGGTTTTGGAATCGCTTCATACATCTTGCGTCTGTTTGAGATGAACCCCATTCGTCCACCAGATCTATGACACAATTTCGGCGCTTCTTTATTGACCTCAAAGTCTTACGAACACCTGGACAGCGCACGTACTTTTTGATACTTATTCGGCTGTCAGATGGTACTTCGCCATCAGCACCAAAAAGAAACAATGTCGATTGCTTATCGGTAACCTTTTCCACCCAATTGTCGACAACACTACTGCTTTTGATGTGTTTGTCCAAGGCGAGTCGAGTGTACTTGGCAGTCGAGTAAGCACAGATCCCATGCTTCATCATTTTGACTCGGTGCTTGATGTAGTTCAGCCAGTATGATCCTTTTGGCGATGGCATCACTGGGTACAGCTCACGATTTTCTCTGTCTCGGCGCTCCTCTTCGATGAAAGCTTTGGTCCAACGCTTTGCTTTGGCATTTCGCACATTTTGACCAGTCTGCCAGTGGAACTGCTTGCTCGACATCACAAAGTTGGTCTGAAATTTTTTTTTTTTTTAAATGATTAGTTATTGAATTATAGCATTTACGCGGTCTATCTTCCATTGATACATATACAACATAAATGTAAAAACTTACTTCGGTGCCAGTTATAATGTTGTGTGTCACTGTGGTGTTCCAACTTTTCAAGCCTGTATCAACGCCTGCAAAATTTTCGAATTTGCCATCCAAAATCATTTCAACGATGCGAGAACGGTCGTATTCTGTGTTATTCGTCTTCTTTTTGGCCGAGTATTGCAGAGACACAGCGATTCCATCGGTGTTTATAGAAAAATCAAACTTCTTTTTTCCACGCACGAATCGCCGAATTTTCCGCATGTAGAAATACTGATTCCACCAATGATCACGCGCATCGTTGAAACCCTTTTGTGGAAGAATTACCATGCTTGTTGTTCCGTTTTTGTTTTCAACTTCCACTTTCGGTAGCAATTTTTGCGAAGACAACACCTGGTGCATGCTTGAACAATCGATTTTGAAGTGCTTTCGGCGAAAATCACACATCGGCACCACTACTAAATTCCGGATGAATGGCCGAAACTTTAGATCGTCGAGCATTTGTTTGCGCTTGGGGCGACGCTTTGACTTTTTGCGCTTTCTTTTCTTTCGTTTGGATCGGTGCTGATGTGGCCACTCCAAGTTATACTCTTCTATCTCACGTTGCATAGATAGGAACATTGGCATGGCCTTAAACCAATGTTTTTCGTCAGTCGTGAGGTCATGCAGATCGATTTCTGGAAACACATTCAAGTCGTTCACCATGTCATACAACATGCCACACCGTTCGAGTTTGTTTGGATCGTGAATTGGCACTCTGATGTTTTTTTCTTTGATGATCAGTTTTACAACACTTTCGATGTCACTTGGCAAAAATTTCTCTGCGTCCTCTTCTCCGTCTGTGTTCAATTCGAACACTTTCAGTCTCAAGTACTGGGTGATGTGTTTGTCAGCATGCGTTGTTGAGTTGGTGACGACGTTGTCTGTGTATTGATTGGTCAAATGCTTTAGGCCATTGCTGAAATCATTGTTGTTGGGCCAATCGATACGATGATAGTCGTCAAGACCTAAAAATAAAATATGTTTTTCAAATTCAACTAAATTGTGTACTGTGTAGTCAAAACTCGCTATTTTATAAGGGGGTTTAATTGTTTAATAAATCAACTATAATTATTTATTACCTTCGACAATTGCTTTGAATTCAGGGTCGATACGTGGCAGCTCTGCTCGTGGTCCTCGTGGCTTTGTTCCTCGTGGTCTGTACGTCGACTTCGGTTTCGGTGGCTGATTGTTATGCCATAGCACTTGGTTAAAGCAGAGTTGGATCTTTTTTTCTCCACTTCCACCAAAGAATGCGAAATCATTATTCTCAATGCCTATGTTCGTACGCCTTTTGCACCTCGAACAAGAAAAGCAATGAGCCCAAAACGCAAATTGAAGTGGCTTGCAAACTCAGGTCCGTTATTTTGCTCATCAATGCTTGCTGGAATTGTGGGCGAATGATTGTCTTCAGCGCACATTTGATCGTCGTAATCTCATCCTTCGTTTCTCCCTTCGCTGGTATGGATGGCTTGAAGCGATTCGCCATTTTCCTATTGAAAAAAAAACAAACATTCGATTTAGTTTGAAAACGAATTTGTATTGAATTTTCATTGATCCATATAATTTAAAAGTGACGACTTTTCATATCAAACAATGTTCGATCGAAAAAAAGTATATAAAAAAATATATACATTGAAAAAAAATGTGCTCCAGCACTGAAATAAAAGCATTCACATGTAATTTGAAAATATCAACCGAATGCACAGATGCAAAACATACAATCAAAGTGAAAAATCCTTTTAACCAATCCACACAAATATTCACATATGTTCCGAATTCAATTTGATCGAACGACAACAAAACACGAATCTATCGCTTTTTTTGGTACACACACAAAATCATGCAACACAGAAAAATGACAAAAATCTTCGGATTGATAACAATGGCAGTGATTTAGAGAGAAAAAAAAATTTAAACACATTTCTTTGATAAACGAGTTATTGTTTCTCTTTTCTAAACAATGGAACCAATTCAAAATGGGTATCACTGCTTGAAATGAATTTCACCACCTCACGCAACAGAATTATGTACTGCAGAATAATTGTGAAATACATTACTTTTTTCATAAAATGTAATGTTACTGTTAATATGTTCAACGTTAAATAATTATTGGACTAGTTTAAATATATTTCACGTTACAAATGGCTTATATGTCGTGCTATGAAATAAGAATGAATTTCACAATAAGAAGGAGATGAATAATTGCTTAGAATAAGCACGTTATTCAAATTTTGAATAAATCGTGTATTCGCTGGCATTTTCTCATCAAAAATAATAATTTTTATCGATGAATTCACCAATATTTTTCACTTTAATTTTCACTGTAAATTAAGTTTACTCACGGTGATTTGAATTCAACAATCTGCTTGGACTCCGGATCAATCGATCGATCAAGTGTTGAACAATTCGGAATAAATTGATACAAAACGCACGTATATCGAAAATAATATGAATTATTAACAAAATCGTAGAATAATTGAAACGTTGAATTGGAATTAACACTGCTGCGTAAACTTGGTATTTACAACGATAAACATGTTCTCGGTATGGATGAAGCGGCGATTATGACATTACGAAAACCAATGAAATGAACGTCAAATGTCATAAGGCTCGGTTCACATCAATAATGCTAATTCAATATTTTGACATTAGACACATTCTGCTATAAAGAATTTTTTGCTTCGGGAAGTGTCAATATCATTCGATGCTTTGTGTAAATGTCATGATTTGTCTTAGAATTTTTTGCACTTTTAATTAACGACTACCATTTTTTTATTTTTTGACTACGGAAACACTCTTATGTACATGATGTGTTCATATTCATGATTTATATTTGTCATAGGTTGTATGTTTGAAGATATGGAAATTCCGGATGGTGAACGTGTATCACCCCGTAATCAACCGTGTAAAATTTGCACATGTAATAAGGGTGTGATCTCTTGCGAGGAGCCTGTTTGCAATTGTTCTACTTGGAAGAAGGGAAACGGAAGAGACCTATGTTGTCCACAGTGTGATCCAAGAGAGTCTTGCCTGCATCAGGAATTAAAGCATATTGTTTTTAGAAGTGGCGAACAATGGATTTACCAATGTCAAACCTGCGAATGTTTGGTTAGTTAGACTTATTCTATATACAAAGATAAAAAAAATATTAGAAAAAGTAAAAAGCCCATCTGTGACTTATTTTTACCACTCAATTTTGATGATTTTTTTTTTGTTGTCATATTTAAATTCAAATCAATAAAACAAAATAGTATGGTGAATTCGATTGCTGGAAGTTGGAGTGTCCTCCACTAACGTGTGATAAACCCTTACCACTTGCGCCTGGTGAGTAACTGATATTCTTCGTAATCACCGAGCAAAACGCTTTCTTTTTTATAAATACAATCGATTTTTATTTCAGGTGATTGTTGTCCACGATGCGAGGACGATCCTTGTAACATATTAGTTGGTAGTAATAGTACCGGTATTTATGCGGCTGGAAAGCCGTGCACATATAAAGGTCACGAATATGAGTCCGGACAACAATTTAGTGATTTGTCTAGTCATTGTACGACATGTGCCTGTAAGGTAATTACATCAAACTACCATCAAACCATACTTGATGTTTGTGATTTCTTTAAATCTATTGTGCACACGTCCACTAACTATTAGTCTAAAAACAATTTATTTTTGGGTTTTATAACACAACCTGAAATTATTAAATGTTTTGTTTTTGTTCATTTGTCACAAATTATCTTGGTTCGCATAACATTAAAACCTTTAATTAATAGGATGCAGATTATACGCGACAGAATAAAAAAACAAATTCATCCCAAAAGATGAGCGTCCTATAAGTAAAGCAAATCTAATTGCTTTTGTATGCTAAGGTCACGTTTCACCCATTAGTTTTTGCATTTCTATTATCCACACCTTCAATGTTTCTAATCAATTTATTTAGTTGTTTTTAAACATTTTAATAAGCATTACACATAGCCTTTTTAAATTTTCGACAAAACGATTTATCTAGAAATGTATGTGTCGAAAATTCCAAAAATGTTATCTATCACAGAGAGTCAATGTGTTTAATTTAAATTCATATAAAAAATACGTTTTGAAATAAATAACTTTCATTGAACTTTGCATCACAAAAATATACAATTTTGAAATCAAATTGAAAACAATCAGAATACACTTTGGCTCTTATTCATAGATATATGCTTCATTAATTAATTTACAATAGATGGATGACCACTGAATATTCATGTACCGATTTTATTTTTGTTTCGTTTCATTGTTATACAGAGTGATAATCTATCGTGATTGAAAAGAAACAAAGATCAATTCCAGTTAATCGTGTAACGCATGCCAATTCGCACCAAGCTTATGTTGCGTATTTTCTTTTTCTTTCATTGCTCTTTGATCAATTTTCATTTGTTTCAATATCCGTTCAATATGAATGCGATCACAATTACACTGTGTTAAATGAAATATATTTAACATTAACAATACTGTGATGAGTAACGCCAAATCAATTTCCAGTCGACGGCGACGTCGCTAGGTGATTATTGCACTGCAATAATATTGCAGGATTCAGATTCTTTCAAGTTTCGCTTCTTTCATTGCTGATTCTAAACGGTTGGGAACTTTACTTGCTGCAGATAACTAATTGTTATCGCACATGTTTACACAAATGGGACATTTTCAACGTTATCAACGTCCAACATAAACACAGAGCTGGGCACGAACATGAATGTCCGACTGTGATCGGTCGATCGTGTGCGTTTTTTTCCTTTTTTTTGATCGGTCGTTCGTTCGTTGAAGTTATTAATGGTCGGTCGGTCGTTCGTAAAAATTGAAATGTTCGTTGTGTTCGTTCGTATGTGCGATCGAACACCGAACACGTGCGGACGTCCGGATGTTCGAAGCAAAATTGTAAAATCAGGGTTGTTAAATAATTTATAATTCTACAAATTTAAAGAAAAAAATATTTAAATAAATAAATGTTCAAATAATTTCTAATTCATATAAATTTTCTTTCTCAAGTGTTGAAATTATAATTTTTTTTATTACGAAATGTTATGAAATTCATCTATATTTATTTCATCATTGAAAATGTGAGGTTATTTCAGGTATAGAAACGTATCGCACATACGAACGAACACAACGAACATTTCAATTTTTACGAACGACCGACCGATCATTCATGATTTCAACAAACGAACGACCGACCACAAACACATATTTTTTCAATGTACGAACGAACGACCGACTGTTCGTGCCCAGCTCTGCATCAACATCAATTAATTGATTAAATAATACTTACCTACAGATAAATCTGTAAGAGTTGGGCAATCGTAAATTAAATATATAACAAAAACATGCAATCAATAAGATGGAATTAAACATGGCCGCAACAACGTCTCGATGCCAAACTATATAAAATGGTCGTGTCAGCAGCGTCGTGTTCCATTTGAATTCTATTCGCAGGGTAGTAGCCAGTTCCTTGGACTCGAATCGCTCTGAAGGAAATTCTGCTGTTGGTTTGTCGGATTCATGACACCCTTTGCCATCATCTCATTTTCTGCGTCGTTGGATCTCCTTCGTCAAAATTAGCCGTTTTACCAAGAAAAAATAAAAACAATTAATAAATGAGCTTTGACATGATCTTCAATATTCCGATGAACTCCGGCTAAGTTTGTCTTCATGCCCGGTATCAATTGAGATTATATATTTGCATTCACCATTTTCGAATTTTTGCTTTATTCTTTCGCAAAAAAGTTGAATGACTTAAACCACTTCTTCTCGATGTATTCAATCATTGTGCGATGGTTACGAAATGATGATGAACAGAGAATGGCGTGTTCTCCAAACAGCTCAATCGTTTTGTTTGTTCAATTTATCAATCTGGTCTAATATTATAAGCAGAGCATGAACGTCGTTCGATTGAAAGCAGTTCATTTCCAAGAAGTACGTCAATTACTTCTCACAATGCGTTGTCAAATTGGTCGTCACATATTCTTGGTGTAAATATTCAAACGCGTTATCAATTTGATACTTTTGGCCGTTGCGATCGTCGGCTGTTCAACCATTGCTACGAAATTAAGTGGCATTGTAGCTTGAGTGGGATTGTGAATGTTTTCGATGCGGTGAAACAGCAACAACGATATTGTTGAACAAAAAAAAAAAAACAACGAGACAATCGACTTACCATTTCAAAGTGATCGATCAAACTGAATTCAGATGAGAAATTGTGGTTTTGCCAATATTCCCTTAATATTAAAGTAAAACCAGACTCAAAACTCACAGAAAATTCCAAAAAATTAATAAGTACATTGATCAAATGATTCAAAATTTATTACACTCAAACATTACGTTTAAGAATCAATATCACACCGATGCAACATTCACAACGGATTCACTATTTCGATGATGAGTACTGAATTTTAAAAGAAACAAACACACAATTCAGCGCGTAAGTGTGATGACGTTATGCAATCTTTGAATGTAAACATTCACTAGCTCGGTTTGGACGCCCACAATAATCAACTGCCAAATACTAATGCGTTATGGATTCGAATTTGTAATTCTATTCGTTAAATGAAATAAATGCAATATAATGAGGAATGAACGTTTAAAAAATTCGGTTGCCGGAACAAAAATCAAATCCCACAAATATCTTTGTGTACTAATTGGTTGGTATTTTTTCTTCATTTGAAACGAAAATGACCACCGAAAATGGAGTTATGTTTTATGTCGTTACACATGAATTCTTTGATATATTTTCGAGTATTTCTTTTCGCCGATGGCGCAATCGATTTAAACCATCATTCAGTTATTCATGTAATCAATTTATGGTTAAATTATTATTTATCACATATTTTATTCGATTGATTTTACTTTTGCTAGTTTAAATATAAAAGATTGAATTTTTGTACCTCTTGCACAAGTTTCACTTGAACATATTTGATTCACCACTCACTTCAAACTAAATATGATTGATATTCTTTTTCACACAGACTACTAAAATATTTTACTGGAAAATTAACTCTTGTATTTCTAAGATCTCAGACAAAGGGAAGAATTACTGCTCCAACGCAATTTATCTAGTACATAAAAAAAAATTTCTTTTCAATTCTCTGTCGCATTCAATGTAATTCCATGGCGATACTGTTTAAATTCAATTAATTTACGTTTTCACCAAGTCAAATTACTCAACAATTGCGCGTAATTTAGCACATGCGCTGCTAAGATTTACCAACCAAATGCTTAATTTATTCAGCTTAGATTCACCTGATGTTTCCTGGATATGAATGCACACACCAACCTCTCACATTTTTTTTATATTGTCGAATTTGGCTGGTCGAAGACTAATACATATTTGAATTTAAATTGAATTGACATGGAAATTGATTGAATAGAAATTGAATTAAATTGTTGGATTACATTTTTTGTGCACTTGTTAGATTCGGTGGTAGTGTTCACCTTTTTTCTTGGATAATTACTTGTCATTACAAAATAAAACTCAAACAGCACACATTAGTTATCTTCTCACGTTCTTGAACAATTTAACTGCAACGATTACAAAATAGCAGTATTCAAAAACCCACTGAGAATGGCATCATCACTTTTCTGTCTTACCTTGGTTATCTTGGTTATGTTCGTTAGAGAAATGCAATTTGGAATAAGCACCAACAAAAATACACTAGATAATTTACTTTGTTTCTAACATTTAAAAAAAAAAACTTAAAAGCTATTTTATCATGTAATATTCTATGCGAATCTTCTTACAGGTTCCCTACTGCGCCCAACTGGTGAGCAATTCCGCGTGTTGTGTGCATCGGTAAAAAATCACTCTTACATACACATTTCTCTGCTAAATTATGATTTATTGAGTTCTTCTACATTTTCAATGTTTGATTTGGTTTGGTTTGGTTTGGTTTAATTTGAGTTTGGGTTTGATATCTATCCATTTGATTCAGTTTGAAATGATTTTAGATTTTTTTAGTTTGTGTCATAAAAACATTTTCCAATTTTTTCGTTACATTTGGTCGACTTTGGCACCACTTATTGGAATTGGTTTTTGAGACCCTTAATAACAAAAAAAAAATATATAAGAAAATACATATCAAAAGCATTTGACTAGATCTTATATCGGTGATACACTTTTCAAATTGAAATTCGACAAACTTGCAAATGTTTTTCGTTCAGTAAATAAATTTTGTATGCAAGTTTTTTATTCTGTTTTGATTTAGGATCATTCGTTTGGCTTTTAATACTAACATTGAATTGATTTAAAATAGGTTTTACTAAAAAAAAAACAACAAAATAATCTTTTCATCATCGTATAAAGTTTTCGTAATAAATGTGAACGAAATTGTTTCCAAGAAGAAAAAAATCTACGATGACGATGAAAACTCATTTATTTTTTTAGAAAATCGTTTTTCCCTCGTTCAAAGTACTGTAAATTGAGCATAAATCAGGAATGAAACTATCTTAGGAGCAACATTTACTAGTTTTCAACAATAGTGCGGGTATTAATCCATATAACTTTTTGAGTACCGCATTTGATTAGAAGAAAGAGCGGCGCCTATAAAAGCTCTAGTTTTCAATTTAAATTTTCTTTTCTATAAAATGATCTGAACATTTACTTCGTGCGAATTTCCAAAATCTTAATTTTGATAACAGTCCCATTTTTGTGAGGCGAAAAGAAAGTAAAAAAATTAGCAATACAAATTGATTAACTCAGTTTACAATACTCAATTGTCAATTGAATCTTACAACAAATAATAATTGTCTCGTCAGCGTAGATTTTAAAGTGAGATTGTTCTTGAAGAAAAAAAAGTATTTGTGATTCACTTTTGCATAATATACATCTTATTCCAGGAATCAGTTGCATTACGATGGTACTATTCCATTTTTTAGGTTTCGCTTTTTTTCTCATCAAGAACTATAAAGTAGGCTTAGTGGAAGACAAAAATGAAATACTGATGAAATCTATTCTGAAAAAGAAAAATCAGTATTTTAAATAAATTTTGTTTATCAGTAAATTGAAATTAATACATAAAATACACACATACACAACAACACACAAACGTTACAATTCATAACACTCATAACAAGTACACAGACACACAAACACACACAAACAGAAACAAATTATGGTGATATATTGAAATGGGTTTTGAATTGAATTCAATTAGGTCGAATTTATTGAGAAAAGAAAATGGGCATCAATGAACATTTTGAAAAAGGGTATTCTTGGTTCTCAGTTTTGTTAATTCGTTGTTATTTTTTTTTCTTCTCATTATTATTTTGTGAAATTTTCTGGCTTTTCATTAAAAACAATTTTTATTAATTTCTCATTTTTCTCTTCTGCGCACTGCACCAAAATATGTAAACAAAACATATAATTTTCTTCTATGGAGAAAAAAATACGCGAATAAAGTAAATAAATTTTAATACATTTGCATGACAAAAGGTCATTGATGATCAATACATATAACAAACAAAACGGGTTCATAATTTATAAATTATACTCTCTCTCTCTCTCTCTCACACACACACCTTTTATCGTAGATTTAATATTATCCTTCAAAATTTACTCGCACTTCTTTCTTATACTTTGATATATTCGACAAACAATTATTTGAAAGTTGGTTCATTTGTCGCTCAATTTTCACACAGCCTATGATAACTATCCTAATGATAGTGATATTATTCAATGCTACATGTAGAACGAAACTTTTTTTATGTTTATATCGAATTTTTCTTTCCGGCGAAATTAAAACACACTCGAACAATTTTATGAAATGAATTTAACAAATTAACATACTTGACGAGTACACAATTGCCAAATTTCACCGAATTTTTATTTGTCTTATTGAGCATAAAATTGAAAAACTTACTTCATGATTCAAAGATGGTTCTTGTGAAATATTTGAAGAAAAAATTAAAGAATGGTCAAACCTTACGATATTTCGGTGCATTTTGATCTAACGACCTCATTCGTATATTTTATTTGGTTGAATTGTGTACCGGATATTCAATTATATGGGCTTTGACCATCGCCAATGAGAAGTTTTTGAATAAAATGCGATTGTGTAACTTACACAAACTTATGGTGTTAAACTCATTTTGACGAGGACAAAACATTTAACAAAAATCATCAATTTCATTTTATACATATATTTAATAAACTTCTGTGAAGGAGTGTTCACTTTTTATTCAGTTGATGGCATTTGAAACATACATGAGCACCGTTGAAGAAAATAGGGAAGGAATCTTCTGCCATTCTAGGCATGAATAACTTTCTATGTCAGAATTGTAGAGGATTTCGCCCTGTACCCATGTATGATTTGAAATAATAAGAATCCTTTTTAAAATTAAGTTACTGTGTTAGCTTTGCACTTCAACCACAAATCATAAAAAATTGTGAAACATTAAATTCAAAACATGTTTATGGTAAATGAAAATATGTTGTTTATGTAATAAATGTGTATGTGTATGTGTATGAATATGTATATGTATATGTGTGTATCTCTCATACCAAATAATAAACTGTGAATCCCAAAATTTGTTTGCCTTTGTTTTTTGGCTTGTAATCGTAGTACGTTATATTTAATTGTTGATTTTGAGTATAAAAATCCATGATTTGATTGAGGTTTTTTGCTTTGTTTGGTTGTTTTTAACCTAATTGCTCTTATTGTATCTGTATCTTGTTCGGTAAAGTAAATTTTAAGTAAATTGAATTTCAACAATTTATAGTGTATATTCAGTGTTTATTTAGTGACGCTCGAATCCATTTTTTTATAGGTTTAAATTTCACAATATTGGATAAATAAATAACAAATATTCTCTATGCTGAAATTGCGTCATAACCGTTATTTTGTTCTTTAGTTAAATGAAATACGTATATATGAATTTGTAGAATAGATTGATTGATTTGATTAATAACATTTGTTCAATTATTATCCATTCATGTGTGCGTATTGAATATAGGACGGTCAGCTGTGCTGCAGTTTCGATAATAGTTGTAATGATGCTTTACCAAACACAAGATACGCTAAAACAAATCATTTTGTTCATAATGGTAAAACTTTGCGAACAGACACATTTTCTACAAGAAATATGGCGACAACGGGCGTATACCATTACAATTCATTTGTTCCATCGACCAACATATTGTCACCGGCATCGATACACCGGCGTAATCGAGGACGAAGTAAAGCATTTCTTAATCAGCGAACCATGTTCATCGAAAAATTGATTGACACAACGGTGACAACGTATTCAAACGATGAACGATCTTCTTATTCCGATGAGAGTGATAGAGATCTTCAATCATTGCCACATACCACATCGATAGCACCAGCGGCCTAAACGAAAAACAACAAACAAAAAAAAAACAAAACAAAAAAAAATAATATTTCACATTACTAACGCAACGAATTAACGCGTACTCCTTTTTTATGTATTGCTCAATCAACTCAATTTTGCAACATTTAAGTATTTATATCGATTTCGGCCTCTGTGAGAACACGAACACGATCTCGAATGACATGATTCAATTTTATTATTTTTCGTTTTCGTAAAAGATGTTTGGATTTTTATGACTTGTATGGAAGGCCACTTCTATTAGAAAATTATATAATGTGGTAACAAAAATCCAAAATTTTATGACAAATTGACAGGCTATGATGTTCGTAGCTTCAATCATTCGCACGAAAATTTAAACAAAACACATACACACACACAACAATACAATAGACTTAATGAAATTGATCCAAGAATTGATCACACATCCATTATAGAATTGACTTTAAAAGTATTTGCTAAATAATGCGACCGGGCATTGTGACGAAAGGAATCTTTGGTATTGCAACTTATTTAACGCACATGTGTCCAATTTAATTTTTTGTTTTCACTCAAACAAACAAACAAACAACAACAACAACAACAAACTCTAAATCTAGGCAAATAACTAAATAATAATTGCGTATTCGCAAGCGTAGAAAATATCAAGAATCACGCGAATGTTATTGCAAATGCGCAAACCATGGCGATTAACCCTAGAATGACAAAAAACATAATACAATTTTGTTATTGATAAATATTATACACATCGTAGACACTTCACAATTTTTATTGAGTGCAATTTTTAACAAACAAAAAAAAAACAACAACAACAACAATTTATTTAAGTTTTATCCGATTCAAGTAAATACAGGCGAAATGATTTATTTACTTTGAAGAGTCAACCGCGCATGGAACTAATTTTTTAAGTGTTTTTCAATAATACTTGGTCTGATAACTGATAGTAATTATACCGAATTAATTAAAATGATGTACAGATAGAGGCTCTACTAACTTAAATACATGAAATGAGAAAAAAACATAGACTTCTTTTTTTCGGTTGCTCATTGTCAATTACAAAGAGAGAAAAAACAACAAACAAACAAATATTTGTGTCAAATCATTACGGCCAGCAGCAACCAAATGAACTGATTGATTTTAGAATAGGCAAGACATTATGGGAATTTTATCAATTATTGAAATAATATTTGATTTTACTAGCATTACAGAGAAATATCCAAAAAGCAATTAAACAAAAGAAATGGAGAAAAAGAACCGGCATGAGGAGCTCATAGCCTCGTATACGACTACACACAGTCGACAATTTTAATGCATTTAAATCAAATTATAATAAAACAAAATATTGAAACAAACCAAATGGACATTTCTGCTCTTTAACTCTTTTGAAGCTCAAAACCAAGAAACAAATCTCTTCCTTCAATTTAGATACAATGTTTTATTTTTTCGTTGTCATATTGCGAATATGCGATAAATCACGAACATAGATATATCAAAAACCGTGTTTTAATCAACAATGGGACATTCCATAAAGCAAACAAAACAAAACAAAACAAGAAAAACCAGAACAATTGTTAGAATGTTGTATAACAGTCCACTCTACTTCATCATAAATAATTTTTTTGTTCTTCTGCACACTTGTTAGCTTCCCTAAAATTATAAAACTACATATATCGTGAACTATCCATATTGATGGAGTATGGTTTAAATTCCGGGAAACATTAACAACTTAATTAATCTGATGAAAAAAAAAAATACAAAAATAAACCACGAGAAATTGACACTGTTTATAGATGCAAAATGAATGAAATGCGGCATAAAAATTATGGATATTATATGCAAACACTATAATACACTCTTATACAATTTAATACATTTCTGGGATTTAGAAAATATACCGAAATACGGGCAATTCACTATATATGAATCCAATTTTTTTTTTATTTATTTAGCAAAACGTTAAGGTTGAAGTAATAATTATGTAAGACGCAAATTATCGTTTTGTTTTAGCTCGCCAATAGAATTTTTTCAATTATGAATCCATACATCCCCGATTGTAGCAGCTTATTTAATTGATTAAGAATCAAGCCTAACTCCTAGGAGAAGTCAAAAATGAAACAAATGTTCATGGTGGTATGACAATAAAATGTTAAATTTTCTTAAATTCCATCGGTGCAATGAAAATTGTATGTGTTTATTATTAATATTATATCGGATCATAATTGTGTCAAATTGTGATTGGGTCGTCAACAGCATTGTGAATATCGTTATTTTTCTTATTTTCAGTGACCAAGAGAAGACAGGTAATGTATGAATTTCATTTGTTTTAATGATCTTCGATCGATCTTTTGTACATAGAATGAACATCATCAAACTCTAGTTTACGATCTCTTACCAAATTCGCACACCATTGGTGAGTCACCAATAAGAAATAACGAGGTATACATTGTATACTATACACCAGAGGTCGCATCGAAACGTCAAAATCGGTCCGAGACCCGACCCAATTTCTTGTGTCCTTGTCCAAACCTGACTGGAGCCCGAACAGAAATTAATTTTTCCCGATAGCCGATTTTCTAAATTTTTCCAAAAGAAAAAAAGCTCGATATTCAACCAGAGATGTCTACGAACATTCATATTCGTATTCGTTCGTGTTCATTCGCGTTCGTCACGCGAATGGGGAAAACTTTCTACGAACGAATGCGAACGAGCACGCCGTCTCCCTTGACGAACACGAATAATTCAACGCTTCAGTATCATGATCGTCCGAAATATCCGAACACCTAAAGAACTCAGATCGATTATCTGGATCGATCCGAGCTTTTTTCGGGTCGGGCAGTCGTCGGTCGGAGACCCGATGATCCCTTTGGTATACTCAAAGTAGACAAAAGAATCGTTTTCTTTGGGAAGGTTGAAAATTGGAAAGATTCAATACTACGATAGAAATGGAACTTGTTGTGAAACTTCAACTTGAAACTTCACACAGTGCTTATTTATTGTTAACCAAAGAAAATACTAAATATAATTAGTTCTGTATTTCACCAATGTGAATTTCTGTAAAAATCCATTTTCGAAAGCATCTTTCAATGTTTTATAAAAAAATAGTTTAAAAAATGTATAGTAAAAACTATGGTGACCCTTTTGTGAAATCGGTTATGAGCTTAAAACGACATTGATTAAAATAATAATTTAAATTTCGGAATCAAAATGGGAATTGAAATACTGAACAACATTACGAACAAATTGCATAACACTTTTGATGTACTGCTATAGCATCCCAGATTTTCAAGGCTAATACTGTATTTGATTTCATCTGGGTATCTGCAACCCTCCTCGGTGCATTGGTAGCTATTTTGAGAGGTCGGTGCAGCCTGAACGGAAATATAAAGGGGTGGACACGTTTGAATCAAATAATGCCCATCACACGCATTTGAAAGATAGTAATCGTAGTGGTCATTTGATGGCAATTGTTTGCAATCAACATTCTCATTGGGCTGCGATGAATTGCTGAATCTGCAAATAAATTTGTTTATTTCAACGAAAATTACATGTAAAAATAGAATAACCAATTTTACCTTGGATGTTCTTGATATCGAGAAGTGCAAACAATGATTTGTGATTGATATCTACTTTGAACACGAACAACACCGCCCGACTGGTAAAAATAGTTTGGAAGCAATCGATAGAAATTCACACCGGATGGTTCCACATACTGATCGAGAGCGTTGGTGCCCCAATCATTTTGCGACCAGGTCCATCCATCGGTTGTGCAACGTGGATTTGCTACTTTCCTTGGCACTAAAATAACATTACATTTACAATTAACCGTTTACATTTAACCATATCACCATATTTTCATTACCAGATTGAATTCGTTGAATAACCGGTAAGGTGTACGAATAGATTTGTGCACTGCTATCGCCACCACTAGAGCTAAATGCCATCAGTTGAAAGAGGTCTCGTTGTTGATCGACAACATATCGAGCAAAGCGTCCAGGCGCACCGCCCGCCCAAAATAATAATGTCAAATCTGGTAGAACTTCACGTAGATTCACCAATTGTTCGACAACATAATTACTATCGCCTTCATTCACCGGAGATAATTGAGGTACAATCAGAGCCACAAATGAACGTCCACCAGCTTTTGATAAACTATTTTCTTCATTTAGTATTGTTTTGCCAATTGAACGAAGCTCCTTGATAATTGCCGCCAAATTAAGTCCGGTCGGTTGTGTTTGATGACTTGTTTGATTCCACAACTCAAAGAAGCTAGTGAGGCTATTTGTTGTATTTATTATAGCTGAACCGTCATTTGCATTATACAATGTGAATCGCGTTCCAAATCGATTTACATCGAGATTTGTCAAAAGTGCACTGCAACGCAACAGAAAACAAAACAAAAATATTTCATTGTTATTTTTTGTAAAAAAAAAAAATCTATTTCTTACGCGATTGCTGGCTGAACTTCCACAAATTGCCAATTGAAATCAATGAAAATGTGTATATCGGATGCCGTTTTTGTCTCTGGTGTTGGATTTAATGCCGACGAAGCATCACAAACAACATCATTCAATCCTTTTTCTGAAATAATTTTGCAAATAATTGAGAATGTTATAAACACAATTAACGATTTGTTGCTTTCACTCGAAAATCTGACACTCACCCACATAGGATATCAAAGCTTCGGTTGATGATGTTGAGAAACTTTTAATACTTTCGTTACTTAATGTAACCTCCAGTTGCATTTCAGGATCCAATACACTGCTGAAAGCAATCGTTTGACTTTGTAACTGATTTCGTTGGACATAATTTTTGAACAATTCACGTCGGTTGCATGATCGAAAACTGGATGAAAAAACTCCACGCATTGAATAGTACATATCCAAAAGTTGACTCAACTTCAATTGGGAAGTTTGTCTTCGCCATTCAGCTATATGTAAGCCCAACACCAAACCGTCTATACCACCGCGAATTTCTGCATCTGTTTTTCAAATTGTTGACGGACCAATGGTTATTAAATTGAATTTTCGAAGCGCAAACAAATAATTTGACGACTAACCAGTCATTTCAAGACGTTCACGTTGTGTTAAGAAATACCAGTGTGGAACAGTTGTAGAATTCCACGCGCCTGAAGCACCCACACTGATGTCACGTCGACTTGCAATTGGAGCTTGTAGCAAAGTCACTTCAGATAAATCTCCAGACTAAAAAAATAACACATCTACATATATTTGACAAATTCAATTGTTGATTTGGCTTTAAAGTATCGGCAAATTGGCGGAATGTTTTTAAATTCTCTATCAATGAATATACTCTATTTATATACCAATTTCAAAATAGTTTCGTTTAAAATCTCTAAAATATATTAATGTGAATGGAATGAGTAAAGAGACAAATTTTACGAGGTTCTTTAAAGAGCAAATAATTATCATTAATTATGGTAATTTTGCATACCAAAGTTGCAGCCCATCGGTTGTCTACACTTAATTGAATCTGTTGCTGGTGACGATGTCGGTGAGCATAGTTTCGCGTAAGTAATAACAGTTCTCTTGTCGCTACATTTTGCTGAACCATACCAGCCGCGATTCCTACATAGAAATACATAGATAAAAATATGTTTCATTGTTGACAATTGTCGATCTTCGTGAATATTTACCAGCGATCAGAGGTCCAGCAGCTACAGCGCCCCATGTAGTTCTAACAACACCATTTTCCACAGGACATTGGCTGATCGCATTACTGGCTACATCAATTAAATCCCGGATTGATGGTTTTTCGTCGAATGGGGTTTCGTGTTCCCCATAGTCATCCTCATAATCGCCTTCATCGCCGTCATCATTTTCATATACTTTTTGTGTTGTTGTTTTGATGCGATGTTGTCTTCGATAACTTTGCCTTCGACAGCGTCCTTGATCATTCCTTTGAAATTAAGAAAAAATAATTTAGATTTAAAAAGTAGATGTTTTTTACAATGAATCAATTTTCAATAGTATTGAATATGTCTTACTCATCAGTCATTTCAATATCGCACAGATAATTGCTTCTCGGAATTGAGCTATAACGTTTTCTGCGCGACAGCTCATACGATTCAAATATTCTTGATGATCGAAACTGTGCAAGTTGTCCACATCTCGTTGACTCATCACCTCTCACTTGAGTCTCGATGGAACTTGATAAAAGGAAATGTAAGGTGCACTAAAACGATTTATAGGTTATTTAATTATTTTCAATTTGTTAGGAGATATTAAAGAAAAACAAGGCTAAATACCCGTTCAACCACCGATAGCGTATTATTTGGAAAATTTTGAGCATTGCCTGGAATTGATAACAAAAATGATCGATAAAAAATGTTACAAACGTTGCAAAACATTAAACATTCTTCAAATTTTTCGATTACCTGGTATTAAACGCGATAAAAGCAAACGATGCTTGGAAAACTGATATTCGGATGGACTAAATGGTAAAACAGACGGATGATAATTACGTGAAGCACGTTTAATGCCATCCTATGCATCAAAATCACATCATAAAGTATAGAAATTAACATAAAAAGAAGAAAAAGCGTAATAAAAGTCTTTAAGAACATACCATACGAAAACGATGCAGAAGCGCCACAGAAACTTGTCGTATATCTTGAGTATAGTCGGGAGAATCTTCAATCTTTCGAATTAATTCAATGAGTGTGTCAATTGTGGCTGGTAGACGATTGTCTCTTTCATAGATTTCCGCATTTTCATAACATTCAGCAAGAGAATTTGGTATCCGAGTCTGTGCATTTTCTTGGCTATGTACAAACTGCAAGTGAATGGCAAGCACAAGCCCAATGCACGTCAAATGACGCAACACCTCGAACGACATTGCTCACCCACTGATGAGTAATTGATTCTGGTTAATCAGCAGCGATATCTGATGAAGAACTAAAGACTTCAAATAGAAAATAAAATAAGATTTGAAGAGTACAATTTTTTTTAAAATGAAAATGCAGAAAGACTGGAAAAATCACTTGATCATTGAATTCTTTGTGCGAAATATTTTTTGAATTCATTCATGACACAAACTATGTCTATTATTTGCAATCCACTTTGGTGTTCTAAAAAATATCATCTTTGATATACGCCGTTCGACAACCTTCTTACATTTGTTTAAAACACTTTACGCTCTTATTGAAAAGCCCTTTATATCAAATCAACTATGGCGTAGTACTTTTTATAGTTTCTCATTCCCCTACATTTTTTTGTCATTTTGCAATCAACGTATTACTCATGCGATTGGGAAATTATTGTGAAAATATTTTAGGTGTACTTCGGTAAATATGATAAGAGAATTTTATGAAATCAGATAAGATATGATGTTTTCGCCTTAATGGAACACATATTTTTACTCACATATTTGAAACTACATAAATCTGTGCTTATTTTATTTGTTCGATTTATAAGTTGACAGTCAAAGAAACTAAATCTATTGGGAAAGGTATTGAACACGTTCTGAATGTGAGTAATCACATCGTTTCAAAAATTACAAAACAAACAAACACCAAGTATTGGGTTATTTCTTATCTTATCGACAGAGGAGAGAGCGAAATACTTGTTGTCTATAAACGCATTATTTCAATTCGTAAAATTATGTTGTAGTAGAACAAAAACATTCGCGTATATTCAGCAAGTTGCTATTAGAACAGATAATCATATCCAAATCATCATTTTTTTTTAAATTAAATCAACGACAAATATATATTCTTATTTTAAGTAAATCTTCATGAATTCCATGATTTTATACACACGTTCAAAGGTGAACTAACATTGAATTAGGTCAACTTATATTTATGGAACAACAATGTCATTTTGGATAGTGTAAAAACTCTCACTATTTTTTTCGAATGATCGCACAAATATAGATATCACTACTTCAAATTACACGAATCACATTTTATTACATATTTTAAAACTACAGGTAATGTTTTTTTGGTATCAGAAATGCCAATTCTTACTTACGCGCAAATGAAATTGAAAGTGGCAATTTTTCTTCAAATTCAAATGTGAATTACCAAAAAGCTACAACAAACTCTTTATAAGCGCGCTGGCAAATATTCGACTGAGCAATTCTTTTCGACAATACCACACCTTACGAACGTTACAATCGTTATCGCATACAAAATTTGATAAGATAAAAAATCGCTATCATAATTGAAACGAACAAATAATCCGATCTTGGAGCTAACACACAAAAAAAATATGCGGTCAAATCAAATGGAGATGCGACTATTAAGTAGTGTTCGGTCCAAAACCTCATTCAGGGTCATATTTTCATCATTTTTAGGATTCTGTGTTCTAAAATTCACCGCATTCATAGTATATCATCAAATAATATTTCTTTAACAAGAAATAAAATAATATTCTTGACGTAAATGTTTTATAATAATGAATTCACATTCGTACACTGTGAATTAAATACTTGATTTTGACGCTTATGCGGTGTGATTTTTTTGTGTGTGTATACAATGAATGTTGAAATGATTGAATGGTACGTGTTGACAGGTTTCCGGAGTGAGCCATGATATATTTTTGCTCAAATTTCCAAAAATAATGTATGCATTTCGGCCATTGATGTTAATTCGTTTATTTTTTTTTCAAACATCATGATCATCAAATGTGAAAATTTGTGGAAAATTGTCATTTTTTACTTACACATTCAACAGCTTGAGATTTCAATTTCAATGGAATGCCATTATCTTACCGTCCTTCATTGAATTATAAAAAGAGGTGCATCATTTCAAGTGACCTCATCTAACATAAAGTTCTCTCGCATTGTTGTCTTTAAAACGAATGAACTATAAAAGATTTGAAAGCATGGTTTTGCCACATAAACCTTAAAAATAGCATTGTTCATATTTTATTTAAGATATATACATTTTTTTGATTTTTTCTTGAACTCAGTTCGGTTCGAGTTTGGATGCCAAGAAGCTCAAACATGAATCTCTGGCTGTGACATACTTTCTCTTTTTGTTTTCATTTACTTGTTTTACAACATGCTTTGATATTCTGAGACATTTTTTTATTAAATCTTCTCTCAGATCCTTCTAAATTGTTCGTCCTGCCAAAAGAAAAAAAAATATTTTTTATAAAACCACTTAACCAAGATTATATTTTTCAAGTTTGATATCCTTAGTACCGACATTCACCGCGAAAATTGATATGATGTGCACAATATGTTATATCAGACAGTTGCAGGATATATTTCCTGGTGTTCGACTAATATAATACATTTATTCCAACTTTTTTGACTGTTCTTCCTTTTTTTAAATTTCTACATAAAGTTGTTGAACAATTTTTCCGGGGCATAAACATTTTAATTTTCATGCATCAAAAACTTAAAAAAAAAATCATATAAAAAAGCTATATATGAGTGATGAGTATATATATTTAACATTCACAGTACATTGTACATTCACGGCATAAGAGCGACCCCATTTAGAACAAACATCCACTCACATTTACTCTTGCATTTGACGCATTTTCCGTTTGTTCGTCTGTGTGCATGTTGTGATTTAAGCAGAATGGGGGATAGAGAATAATCGACTGTGTATATGTGTTCAATTTCATTTAGAAAAACGGCTAATGAATTGAGAAAAAAAATGTTGTACATTCGTATTGTGTAATCAAAGTCGATAAAATGATATTATTTGGTTAAAATATCTAAACATTTCTAGTGAATTCTGTTGAAAAAAAAAATTATCAAATAAAGTGAGTGAAAAGAAGAAGTAAAAAAGAGAAATAATGGTCGGCGGCGGACAATAAATTGTGCAAATTGCAAAACATGGGGTAAACATGGATGAATCCGAGAAAGAAGCGGTACACAAGAAATCATATTAATTATTGATTTTTCCACATGTGCGTTCAAACGACGCAAATCGTATTCGATTGCTGTTATTGTATTGAATGCACTTGTTATGTGAATAAAAACCGAACAATTTTTCAATTAAAATTATTTTCATCACATGTTTACGAATTAATATTTGCAGGTGGTTCTTCATGAGATTTTTATTTTAAAGATACACGAAAACTATTAAGGAACACTTAAAGTGATGACATCGACATTAATTACGAATTCTCAAGCATCAGGTGTGGAAGCTTATGAAGATATGTTTAAAGAAATCACTCGAAAACTATACGGTGAGGAATCAAGTCAAAACGTTCAAACACCAGTCAATATCACACCAACAACACCAGTTTTAGATGCTGAACGGTCATTTTCAAATTTGGTAAGAGCACACATTTATTTCACTGTACAGATGAAACATGAAAAACTAAATGCAATTGAATTCAGTTATCGGATCGAACATCCACCGGTGAATATGAACATGGTGTCGGCGTCGAAAATGCTGGTCCACTCAAAAGTGATGATCATTTAACTGCATTTGGATTGGCATTAATGCAAAACGGTTTTCCTACGCCCAATGCAATACTAAACAGTCACACATTTCACCAGATCAATAAACAAAATCAAACGAATCCATCTGCATCAAATACGTTGAACTCATTTTCCAGCAATTTGAATTCTGTTCAAGGACAAAGTAATACTTCGAACGAATTAAATTTACAAAAAACCACACAACACGGAAACGAATTGAATGCCTGGATATCCAGTACAAAGTGTGAATCATATCAAAACGCACATCAAAAGCAGTTCAAGTATAAATATGACATATATGTTTGCTAAAGAAACACTTTATTAAAAAAAAAAAAAAATTGATTGTAGGAGCAAAAAGCAGGACATAATGATGACATCGTCACAACATTTGATAAATGAACCATTAAAATCTACAAATGATATGAACGGTAACACTGCACAAAGCGGTCAAACACTTCAGAAACGTTACAATTGCACAAACTGCACATATTCCAGGTAAAATAAATTTAAAAATTTGCAACAAGTTTTTATTCGTCTCTTCTTCTCTTTTTCGTTTAGTGATCGACGAGACCTTTTCACGCGACATGAAAACATTCACAAAGATGATAAACCATTTCATTGTTATGTGTGTTTAAAGCAATTCAATCGTGCCGATCACGTGAAAAAGCATTTTTTGCGAATGCATCGAGGTTTAAATTATGATATTTGTCGCACCAAAAGATCATTGCCTCAGGTAAAATACGAAATCAATAAACTGAATATTTCAAATATACATTTTTATCTCATTTTATTGCAGCAAAAATCGAAAAAATCAAATTCATCGGGAGCCGGATATAATAATACAAGTGACATGATCAATATATCGTCTAATTTTCATGCAACACTACAAAATTCGAATGTCGAGCAACCATCACAAGCATCAATCATCGATCAAACAAATCAACATTTGAGCAATACATTCCACGGAGGTGGTACCACATCAACATCAAATCATCAAAACCAATCACAGCAATTGAATGTAAAAGTGGAGAAAAACACCGAAAAACCGACAATCGTCGATAAGCGCTTTATGTGCTGCTATTGTTCGTGGTCGGGCAATGATAATTGGGGATTGAAACGTCATTTGAATACACATACCAAGCCATTTGTTTGTGTGCTGTGTGACTATAAAGCGGCACGAAGCGAGCGATTGGCCACCCATGTGTTGAAAGTTCACAATAAAAAAATCTGCACAAAATGCAACTTTTTGGCGGAAAACCAAAACGATTATAATAACCATGTGAATGATGCACAGTAAGTTTATCATATTTGAATATATTTGATTTGAATTCGATTAAAATGAATAATATCATTTAATAGCGCTAATGACACAAGGTCCCATCGAAATTCACAAGTTACTAATACATCCGATACCCGATCACCGGCAAACAACATTTTACGGAATACAAACAATAGCTTTGGCGAAAGCAATTCATTTAATGCTATGCAGAGTGGATCGTCCAATCAGTCAATCAAGTGAGATAATATTTGTAAAGCCTATTCATAGGTGACCGATAAATAAGGAAACTCTTTAAATCTATGTAGCAATTGGCGTTTAATGAACAACACTGGTCCACCGGATATTGCCAAAACAAATGGAAACAGTAATAGTAATCAAAAGCGAGGTGCTGAACGACTCTTTCAATATTTTGAAGCTGGCGACAGTGATCCGGAAGAAGATTATGCGCGGTAAATCACAATCGTTTCATTTTGATGGTGTACATTTTAAATTAATACTTACTTTCTTTTTATTCAATTTTTTTTTTAGTCAATTGCAAATGGCAGCAATAAGTAGAAATACAGCAGCAGTGGCGCAGGATTTTCATAATGCGGGGGGTGGAAATCAAACATTTCCAATGTGCGAATTGCATATTTATGATAAAAACAGTAAGCAACAGTCAGTCAACGAATTTTTAAGCTCAAATAATATCAAAATCGATGCACACACAACTGATGTGATGTTTAATCAAGAATCGTTGATCGAGCAATATTTTACAATTTCACCTCCCGCTAAACAATTTGATGAAAATGAAAAAGAAAACACGCCATTTTCAATAACGATGCCTTACAAAGTCCCATCCAATGTGTACTACAGTTTGGATATGGATGCTCGAAAATTTTAATCATGTTCAAACAAAAAATAATTACACGGTTGATGCGTCGAATTTATCCAACACCAGAGTTTATAAGAATTGACCAGATTCACGGCAGCCGGTTAAGTTAGGCTAAGGTGCATTTTATCATCAATAAAAAAAAGAAAAGAAATGCATCTATCATATTCACAAGCAGTTGTCATTATCATTCAATTGCAAAATTGAATTTTATATATTCGAACTAAAAAAAAAGAGAGAATACATATTTTTTGATTGATGGCAAGAAAATAATCAATGCAAATAGTAGCTGTTCGGTCAGTAATTAACAAGCACATTGTTTTTGTAAATAAATCAATCAATAATTTGGAATTGCACAAAAAATGATGAAATTTTATTTGCATTAAAATTAGATTTTCATAAGAAGAAAATGATGTAATCGAACATGAGGCATTTGTGTCATTTAAAATAATTCTGGAATAAGTGAATAACTTGTGTTTTGAAAAAATCCAACATTTCTCCATTCTTCACAAAATCAATTGTTTCTTTTCTTCTGCTTACAATTCTATTTCAAAACAATGCACAATTTCAAATATCTAAATATATGTATGTATATATTTAAGTCTCTATGCCAAAAAAAATATCTATGGACATGAATATTAAACGTGTGAATAAAATATGTTTACTTTATGTTTTACTTTTTAATTAAAAGCCGAATAAAAAAATACGACCATCTCTCCGTCAGAGTCCCAAGTAAACTTTCTTATAAACTTATCCACTAAAGGTACTTTCAAACTCAAATACGTGTCATTCAGTGAGTTTTTTTATTACTCTTTTTCATTAGCTATTTTTTTGAGCCGAGCACAACAATTTTTAAGAAGACAAAAACTCTGGACTTATCAGGATATTTCGGGTTAATGAACATCCACAACAAATATTATAGACGTATTTTCCATCATTTCGACAGACATTTTTGCTAGCATTTTTGCCAATCCTGCTTTTCAAATATTGCACGCTCTGAGTAAAACACGGTATTCATTAAGTGTGAACGAGCTATGGAACTTAGAAACCACAACATAAGACCTGTCACTTAAATGAATTGTAATGTCTTGAATGTAAGTTCTTCCGAAATTGAAATATGATAATATATGTGTCCGTAAGAATAAATATGGCAATACAAAAACGGAATCTGAAGAACGTTACATAATTTTTTTTGATTTTTCAACTGTACCCATGCATGATAGCACCTAATAGAGGTTTAAACTGAATTTTTAAGTTTCTGATCGAAAAAATTAAAAATTGAGGGGTGAAGACCCCAGGCCTGAGGGGAGGGGGAGGGCAGCAAAGAAGAATTTTCGGAATCGATATGAAATCTGCATCTCTACTGCTCGATTGAGATAAATATTGTGATAAGAACTATTTTTGGTGAGTAAGATAACGAAACGAAAAATAATGAAATATTAATAATTTCGGTAACTGAAGAAAGTGACTTAAGACAAGGTTTTAGTGTGTGATCGGTGGTACGCAGTAGATAGTTAAGGTTTTTATGGTGTTGACACGCATTTTGTTTGGAGTATGAGACACAATAATATAAGGCACAATTAAACTAATAACATACAATTATTTTTAAAATGAAGATTTTTGTCTGAAATCTTTAAATTACAATCAATCAAAGATATATTTACATATAAATAAGTGCACTTGTTTTTGTTTTGTTTTTTTCAATGTGTTCTTCAACGTATACATAAAAGTGTAATACTCTCTTGTCTCTCGAATAGTTCAATTAACGAAGGCACGAACATCAATCTTCGATTTTCACATAGACTTTTGATCGTGAAAATATTTGTATGGAATTGTCTAGTTGCCTCAGCTCTTTTTCAATTTCAATTTGTCGATTTCGTATTCGCAATGTTTTTGATGTCAATGACATATGGTTTAATTCATCAATCAGGTCCTGGTATTCTAAAAATTAAAATCGACTTTTTAAATTGAAACAGCTCATTGCAAATATGACTAACTCACTTTTTTGAGCAATATTCAATGATTCGAGGCGTTCAGATTCGGTTAGAACAGTATGTCCTGGCGGACAATTTACGTCAACTAGAGACATGAGACGACTTCGTTCTTCTTCTCGAAATTTCATCTCTTTCAAATACTTGGGAATTTCACCTTTGCGATAGGCTGAATTTAAAAACAAATGGTTAAATTGATAAGAGTTTCGCTTAAAAATGATTTAATTTTTTTTTGATTTTACGATATTCACATGAGGGTACAACTGGTTTGCTGTTATCATTTGCACATATCTGCAGACTGTGTTCACATCGAGTACTAAATTGATGAATGGGTCTATCAATTTCTGTAGCAAGCGTTTCCCGTGCTGCCGAATTTTTTGTCTTATTCTGTTCATCAAATTGGATTAGCACCTCTTCCGTTTCACCACCGTCAACATTTTCCTGATACTGAACCAACAAATTAATTATAAAATTCATAAATATCAAAAAATATACCAACCTTTTCAACATGGTCTCCTTGATCTTCACTGTCTACATGCTGGCGCGTACATTCATATTCAGATGTAATTTCGCTTTTGTTGGTTTTATTTTTGCTAATCGATGCCGATGGTAATCTGATGATAACATCTTTTAGAAAAAGTTCATCGTCAACCGATTCCGTTTGGCTGTATGCATCACGACTTTGAACACTAAGCGGACGGATTTTTTCACCATGATTCGAAACTGCAAAATAAACATATATATGCAAATCACTTTGCGTTTACTAAAAATGTTATCACGGTTTGAGCCAATTAAAATGAGGGTCCTTACTATTTTCAATGCTTTTGCTTAATGCAGCAATATTCTTGACCGAATTTGATGACGATAAACGAAGTCGACTGTGTGACGTTGATCGAATTTTTCGCTGTTTTTTCTCGAAATCACCTGTATCGCTTACTTGATTAGGATTATGATTGCGTCGTTGCATTAATTTTAAATTTTTCACATTTTCCTTAATAAAATCACGTTTTGGTGGTTCTTCTGTTTAAACAAATAGTTTGATTGAAAACAAAAAGAAATCGAAAAATTGACATTTTTGGTATGTAATGAACCTAATGAATAGTTTATGTTATCGATTGATTTTCCATCCTGTTTTTACATTACATTCATAAGTGTATCTAGGCAAACTATTGGTTTGCTATGTAGCATTATATGTCAACAAACGGAAAAAAGCACATTGCATATATGTTTATTTTATCTACTTACTGGGCCTGGGAAATATTCCTCTTAATGATTGCATTTTTCTATTCTATAAATATGAATTTCCATTCAGTATAAAATTAAATTTCCTTGTAATACTCAGTAATTTGATGTAATTTATTGAAAATCCTCCAAAAATAGACTCATCGTTTATTTGATTCTGTATTTAATGTGATTAAAAAAATAAATACGTTTAAAAAAAATAAAAATTGATATTAATAATGTTTACAAAAATCGAAATCGCGTACAAATTTCACATTCAGTTACGAGTTATATGTTTCTGTTATTTGATCGACAAACAAACATATAAACAACTCAGGCATGCACGCATCTCAAGTCCTGTTTATATGTCATGTATACGAAAAGGAGTAAAACGCTCGTAAAAAATGAATGCGTTCAAAAATGAATCAATTTTTTCAAAGTTATTTTTATGATGAAAAAAAAGCGTTTAAAAAAAATCTTCGTATTTAATTACTCTCAATCATCAACAATTTGGAAGAGTAGATGAAGAATAATATAAAACAGTCGAATACAAAAATGTTGACAACATTATTTTTGATTAAACATTTAAAATGTGAATGGAACAATAAATTCTATAAAATATAAAAATTTAATTTAACGCAAATCAATGTGGTAATTGTGAATGATTGAAACAAAAAATCGGAATAAATAAAACTGAAACCGAATTTTAAAATGAAATAATTTTTTACGTTCAATGAAATGGCGACTTGAGTTTGACAACTCAAATGGGATGCATTCAATTCCGACACGTCGAATGTAATGTGAAAGCTAGATTAGTGTTCACGTTTCTCTTTTATTTGAATTCTCAATATGGTGAGTACATAAAAGTAATATTTAACTTAAAAATCGACTTGAAAATTAAAAATGGACCAATCGAAATCATCTCAACCTATTGAAAATCAATCGTTTTGCATTGAGATAATTAAATTTCGCAGTTTTTTGTGGATTTTTCTGCAATGTGTTTAAATAAACAAGTGTTATTAGAGCCCGAGTTTACGGATACAAAAACACACATGTTTCAATAGAGTCCAAGTGTTTTGATCACTCAATTTTTTTCGAATCAATTTAATTTGGGATTTTTATTTCAGTCGAACATTAAGAGAAAGAAGACCAGAAAGCTCCGTGGCCACGTCAGTCATGGACACGGTCGTATCGGTGAGTAATTTTTTAAAATATTTATTAATTTAAAAAATGTTTACGAATTTGAGGTTATGTTTTACTAATACACAATATTAATATTTGCAATATAGGCAAGCACCGAAAGCATCCTGGAGGTCGTGGTAATGCTGGTGGTATGCATCATCACCGTATCAACTTCGACAAATACCATCCTGGATACTTCGGTAAATTGGGTATGAGAAATTTCCATTTGCGAAAAAGTGCAAAATTCTGCCCAACAATTGGATTGGATAAATTGTGGTCGTTGGTTGGAGACCAAGCCCGCGAAAAATGCCGCAAAGACAAAGAAGGCAAAGTTCCAGTTGTCGACTTAGTCCAATTCGTAAGTTTTTTCTTTGCATCTGTAAATCATTTTATTTTGACTATTTTTGTGATGAGATTAAACAGTTTAGCGACTGGCGG